AAACACAAAAAGATAAATCAGGGAGGGAGAATGATCCTGTGAAGGGTATCCAGGGAAGTTTTCTTGGTAGCTTCTGCTTTGCCGGGCCATGGTCTACAGTCGGTTTCTGACAGCTTTGTCTCCCACCCCCACCCCTTCTGAGATCAGGATAATTATAGATTGTGTTCTGACAGTAGTCCAGATGTAAGGGATGTGTCTGGAAAGTCTCTTATGAATTGGATCAGGGTTTGGGTTGAGCTTTAGTCTCAGGGGTGATACCAGGGAGATTCTGAGTCAGGTGGTGCAAACATGGCCACCGAAAAGCAGGAAATGTACATTTAGAGTAATGCACTCATGTCTTCCCATGGATGCTTCCAGATGAGGTTGACCACAGTGGTAGGGAGGCTCTTCACCAGAATTTCTTCATCCTGTTGTTTATATCACCTGAGGTTCTTTTGTTTCCTGAACTTAAAAGTGTAACTGTAAGTCTGAATTCTTGATTTTCCAGACAACTAACATAGTTCACGTTGAGATCTCATGGGTCTTTATTACTAAAATCTGTGATGGAATTTTAGGCACCAGCAGTAGAGGTGTGACCGTGGTGGAAAATATTTTCTGAAAGGGCAGAATGTGTTCTTACTATTTTCATCTTCAACCCTGAATTTATATTGTAGTAAACAGCATTATCTATAAATAGGATTAGCCTTAGTAAACTTAGGTACTAAATTGTCATTTTCTCTTCTAAACCTAAACTTTGCCCTGCCCAATTTGGTGAATATTTAAGAACTATTTATTAAATGTTAACTTAAAGCATAGATTACAAATTAGAGAGATATAGTAGAGATTATTTCATTGTTTGCCAGATTCAGGTTTAGACTGTCATTTTTTTTTTTTTTGAGTTGGAGTCTCACTCTGTCTCTCAGGCTGGAGTGCAGTGGCTGCTCCCGGCCACCACAGCCTCGACCTGCTGGTCTCCGGCGATCCTTCCACCTCATCCTTCCAAGTAGCTGTAACTACAGGTGTGCGCTATACACCCGGCTAATTTTTGATTTATTGTAGAGATGAGGTCTCGCCAAGTTGCCCAGGCGGGTCTCGAACCCATGGGCTCAGGCAATCCACTCATCCCAGCCTCCCAAAGCACTGGGATTACAGGCTGAGCCACCGAGCCCGGCTTAGACTGTCATTTTTACTTTCTTTAGCTAATGGCGATTCTAGCCTATAATATCACAGACTGTAATTCAAGTTATCTAAAATTACCCTGACTGCAATGATTCCTAATTTTAAACCAAAAAGGGGAACAAATGAACTTGGTTTAGCACCTGGAATGCTGAAGAAATAGGTTCCAGATATGAATAAATAACATCATATTTGAATTGCGAATATATTGGCAAGAGAATCCAGAGGAAGGTCAATGGATTCAAAAGGTGTCTTTTATGTCAAAAGTGTGATTTTTAGACTGAAAAGGAAAGGGTATGCATGTCTTAGTGGACATCACCTAGTAGGTACTCAATAAATATTTCTTAAATTAACTAACTAGTTGAACCGCCGTAGCCAAATAGATTTACAAAATGGATTAATGTTCACCAGGCTGGAAGAACCCAGTGACAGAAGCTTCCTGTTCTTAGTGTACTATTCCAATGAACACAAAAATGACACACCTAACAAAATGGTTCATGAAGTAATCTAAAAATTCACATCAAATCCAATCAGATGAAACTGGATAAAAATAATCCTAAGAGATCTATTTTTGGGTTTCATAAAAACGAATGTAGGATGGAGATTATTGGCAAATATTTTAATGAAAGATGAAAGGCTTAGGAATTTTAAGTGATAACACACTCAGTGTGATCCAATAACATGAAATGACGTGTGTCTTCTCCTGTATATTTTAAACTCTCTACAAAAACCAAGGAGATGATCCCAATTATTATCATCTTCATTGTTTTAATTGAGTTTATTGCCAATATTATTGAGGTGATGATTATATTCTATTATGTGTTAAAAACTCATCTATTTGAACACTTTTTAAAATTGAAAGGAATATTGTTGGAGGAGAGTGATGAGATAGTGGAATTCTGCTCACAAGTATCAAGCACTTGGTGAAGGCAGTAACGCAACTATTATACAACAGAGAGCCTTACCATGAGCCGTGATTTCAAGAGGGGGAAAAAATAGGACCAATAGGATAAGTTGGCAGGAAGCATGTTTTGTCTTATATAAGGGAAGATTTTGCACCAATTCTAAAGATTAGACCTGAATGTGCAGCCTTGAGAGGCAGGCAAATGTTCATGTGGCTACTGAACAGAATAGAGAGATTCATACCGCAGATGAAGGGGTTGAATCAGATGACCTCCAACATCACTTCTGACTGGAAAATTCTGTGGTATTATGTGTGCAATAAGATATCACTCTGTACAGCCTGTTCCAACCATATACCTTAGGAAAGTTGAGGATAGGACAGCACACATTGTAAATGATTACACATCTTAAAATGAGAGGCAAAGGTGTATGTAGACAGGTGCACAGTTGCTGACCTGGAGTGCTTGTGTCTAAATCCCAGCTATGACTTACGTATACTAGCCGATAACCTTGCATAAGTTATTTAACATTCCTGTACATCAGTTTCCATATGTGAAATGGGTATAATTTAGTATTTACCTAGTAGGGTTGTTGTGACAATTGGGTGAAATAATTCACATTAAATTTTTAGAATGGTACCTAGCCCGTAGTGAGTGTTAGGCATTGTTATTTTTATTATGATTGTAACACTTATTATGATTAAATGTCCAAAAAATAATATAGAGTAGGAATGGTATATTTAATTCCGCATTATGGGTATTTTAGATATTCCTTGGAAGAAAATATTATAGAGAAAGCATTAATGTTGTGTGCAGACAGACTCTATATGAGCTGTGTGGTCTTGGACGAGTCACTTGACCTCTGCTTTTTCAAATGATTCTTTAGTTATAAGGCTTCTGTAAAATTAGATGAGGCAATTTATGTGATTTTCCTAGTAATAAATGTCAGCCTATTGCCAGTGGAGAGACAGTTTATCAATTTCAAACCTTATCCAAATATGTTGTTTTCTGGAGACCACAGCATTGCAGGGTTAATGTAGAAATTTAGGACTTGAAGTGATCTGAGACATTTTCCAGCCATTGCTCCTCATGTAGGGGAAGAGAATGCAAGATCTTGAAGAACTCAGAGACTTGCAGAGGGCCACACAGGTTCTTTTATGAGGGAAAAGAGGTATTTGGTGGAAAGTAAAAGATAAGCTTTCAGAGTATATTTTTTGAGAAAAATGGTGTGTATCTTCTGAGATCTTGTGCTATATTGCTGTGTGTGTTTGTGAATGAGTGTGTGTCTGTGTGTGCGTGCTTGTGAATCTGTGTGTGTGCATACGACTATATGTATATATTTGTGTATGTGTATGTGAACATGTGTATATGCATTGAGTGTGATTATCTGGCTAAGATCACTTTCTATGTCACCAGTTGGCATTCAGCCTCAGGTTGGTAACTCCTTTTTTAAATTATTTCTAACATAATAGACCAAGAGAAAAAGAAAAAGGTAAAAAGAGAGAACATGTTCTGCTTCGAGGTGGACACTGGCTTTCTTCTTCTAGGTCTGGTGCTTGACTTCCTTGCTACTTCACTTTCTTCCTAAGAAAAATGAACGTGCCAGCCTCTTGCCTTCATCACACCAGTTTAATAAAGTTTATTTCAATTAATCCTACAAAACTCAAGATTTAATTTTATTTGATGACTCTTCTGCTGCAGACCTTTTTGTTTGCTTTCCTAAACACTAAGAGAGATTGGATCTCTATGCCAAGTTCCCCACTGGCTATGGGCCTCTGCCTGGGACATGGGCATTTGAAGTGATAGCACCCTTGAACTGAGTTAAGCAGCTGGAGACATAGAACAATACCAAAACTGGGCTTTTGATCATATATTTTATCCTATTTCAACAGCTTCCTCATGCTCACCCCCTCTGCCAAATACTCCAAAAAACTGAACGACTCTGAGTTGTTCTTAAAACTCAGGAAGTTTTATCATGTGCTGTTAACATCATCATATTTTAGAAAGTGTAGGAGATGATGAGGTTTAAAAAAATGAGTTTAAGATCAAGAACTTGTACTTTTTTTATTATGGAGTTGAATTTCTGATATTTATATTCAGATTATTGACTACATTGTTGCTTGTTATAATGGCTGCTAAGTTTTATATATTCTCATCTTTGTTTTTATGAATAATGCAAAAGAATGTATCAAGAGCTCAATTACATTTATTGGCATATTATTTGTTAATTGTGGCACTATAAAAAAGAAACATTCCTTTGAAGATCAAACAAAATCACCCCCCTGCCCTCATGTGTAGAATACTACTCCTATGAGGAAGGACTGATAATGAGAAATTTATATATATATTTATGAAATGGCTGGTTTTGTTTGTTTGTTTGTTTGTTTGTTTGTTTTTTTGAATTGGAGTCTCAAACTGTCGCCCAGACTGGAGTGCAGTGGCCGCTTCCGGCCACCGCAACCTCAACCTGCTGGGCTCCGGAGATCCTTCCGCCTCAGCCTTCCAAGTAGCCGGAATTACAGGCATGCGCTACCACACCCAGCTGATTTTTTGATTTATTGTAGAGATGAGGTCTCGCCTGCCCAGGCGGGTCTCGAACCCGCGGGCTCAGGCAATCCACTCATCTCAGCCTCCCAAAGCTGCGGGATTACAGGCTGAGCCACCGAGCCCGGCTGAAATGGTTGTTTTTAAGTTCTGAAACTGAGTAGCATATAATTGCCTATTATCTCTAGGCTGATATTTTACTTTGGTATTTCTTTGCTTTGCATTCTAATAAAATATTAATATCGTAAGCTAATTTTGTTCCTGTCGGAAACAACTTGTTTGGCATAACTCTTTTCTTCATTTGATAACATGTCACCTAACTTGGTAGAACTGTCTAAAATTATGTTGTATTCTTTTCCCTTTTCATCTCCACTCTTGCTTTCTGGTTGCCCATTCTAGCAGTACAAGACCAAGTCAAGCTACAAGGCTTTTGCAGCAATCCCTACAAACACATTGCTTTTGGAACAGAAGGTCAGTGTTGGCTCAAAAGCAAAGTGAATTTTGTGTTTCTAATCCCTTTTTTGTTAAGTTGTCTATAATTTCTGTTGGGAATATTTTTCTGGTTTAAAGTCCTGTCTTTACTAAAATAAAAATGCTGCTCTTAATTTAGGATGATGTGATGAAAGCATTTTGGTGAATATAATTGAAGACATCATCAATTTATCACTAGAGCCTGGATGTGAGCCTAGAGATGTCTAGTCCATTGTCAAGCAGCCTTGGGAAGCTTGATTCGGATTTGGATAGATCCCTGTCCTTTGAAATTTTAAATAATTTCTGTCTTCAGGAACTTCTACCTCTATTCATATTGATCAAAATAATTGAGGTAAAATGGGTTACATGTAGGCAACTGGTCGCCTTGGTCACTGACTAGTCAAGACTTGGTGATTAATAGTGATTCCACCACCATACTACACCAATACTTAGATATTACAGTGGAGTATACATCTCAGCCCCATAGAGCCCATCACGTGCTAAACCTCTTCATTCATTCTTGCAAATCACTGATCCTACCTCCATGAATGGAAGAGAGGATTGAGATGACTCCTGATGACCCAACTTCTTTCACATGGGTGCAGGGAATTTTTGCTTTGCTATTAAGGGGTCATTAATTACAAAAGTATAGGATATCACTTTACAAGGTTAATTAAATTAAAGCTCCTTGCCTGATAAGTACATTACACATGCTCAAATGAAGTCAACTGAAGTATTCATGTCAGAATCAAAGTGAAATCAGTTACCAAGTCTGTGAAATTATTCATTTCATATATTATTTTATGATGATTTATTTAGGCAGTTTATTTCTTAGTGCACTAAGCTTATTTTGCCCCATGTAATCACAGTGTTTCAAATACAGTTACTATTGTTTGTCAAAATGTTAATGATCATCAATTGGGTGATATTTTGATCGTGGATTTATATATCAACATTCTTATTCTTTTAGCATGATCTAGAGAATATAACCTTCACACGATCTGTCTAAAAATAGGAATTGTTAGTGGAAAATGCTAAGTAGTATATGGATGAACATTAAGTGGACAACATCTCTAGAATATAAATCTCTGATAATAATTCCAAATTATTCACATGTGGCCTAGAATCTATGTTCGGTATGTCTAAATGTTTTGAACTAGAGAGTCACTAGGCTACAGGGAAATCTGCAGCATTTTCTCTAGCTTCTCTTGTGAATTTATACCTTTTATAGTTCGTTAAAAGATGAGACAGGCCTAAAACACTGATTTCAGGAGGCTTCCAGAGGATGTGGGAAGTGACAGTTTCTCTAGTGCCATCATGGAGAGTGAGACTGGCAGTGCCTACACCACAGACTCTCTGCTTATTTAAGATGGACATTTCTGGAATCTGATCACAAGTGTCTGCCTTCACAGATACAAGATGATTTCTTTCCATCAGCAGCGAGGCGAAGGGAAATTAGAGGCTTGCTGGGTCATGGTGTTCTTCCCACAAGCTTGACTCATCTAATGTAGGCACGTTCTGCTGGAACTGTGTGGTGTTAATATATTAATTTTCTATTTAGAAACATGTCAGTTGACAATTCCTAACTCTTGTGTGAGAAGACTGGATGTCAGTATTAATCTCAGAATCTCTGTCCACCATTTCTCTTTTCTTCCAATTAACAGGATTGTAGAGTTTATAATCTATTCATTAGTCATTAAAAATGAAGAATCATTAGTTTAATTTTCAATTTTATTACAAGCCTATTTTATAAATGTGTATAGTGGTATTGATGTATATTCAACGTAATACAAGTTCATATGGGGTAAGCTTTCTGTTTCGAATTTTAAATAAAACATTATGTAGAAAAATTATTATTTTAAGGACATAAAATGTAAATACTATGATATTACACTTAAAATAATGTTGTTCTAGTGGGGAATGAATTATTGTATAAGTACTTGTGTAGGTAATTACCTCTTGGTCAATGTAAATTATTTTGGGACCATAAAAATATTTAACTGACTCAATGATAACAAGGCACATGAATTTTTTTCTTCTTTAGATCCTTTGCTTAATTCTACAATTTTCTATGACTTTTCCATGTTATACATTCCTTAATGATTAATTTTGCTTTGTAAGAATAATTTAAAAAAAACAAAATCTTATATAAAGATGTTATGCGTTTACTTCCATTTTCAGTAATATTTCTTGAATGATATTGTGCTGCTTCTTTCAGTGTTATGGCTTGTTTGGCTTTTTAGAAAAGTAAATCTGGCAATTTAGTCCTTTATACTCGTCTGCTCATGCAATAGAATTCATCTTATGTCATTGAAATCAAAGAGATTTATTTCTGAGTTGAGTGGGAAAATTAGGACTATCATCTTCAAGAACACATCTATTTGTAGAAGAATCAAAATTTTGGGGTGTTTTAAATTACAGAAGCTTTTCTAAGTTCCCTTTGATATAACACATAATACCACAATTAAGGGACAGGGTGATGCTGTAGACTCATTATAATACTTGGGTAGAGTCCATGCTGTGGAATGTCTTGAAGATAGAACTAACCTAAATCATTCAAGTCCTTAAGTATTTCAACAATTAATTTTCTCCACAGCCAGATTATACCCATGGTGAATATCTTATGGGACATCCTGTTGTATAGCATATAGTATAATTAACAAAACAGATTTATTTTTTGAAAATAATGTTATTTTTAAAGGCAAGATTTTTTTTCTAAATTGAAATACAGGCATCGCTTGCATGAGACATTAAGCTCTCGTTGAACCACTGAATTTGTTTCAGCTTTAATCAGCCATGAATGAAGCCCAACGTTTTTAAGAGTATACTTGGTTGGCAGAAAAGATTAGGTTTCTGATACTTCTGTAATTTATTGTCTGCATCAAAACTTAAATTTATAGTTTATTCCATGTTCTATCATTTTTTTTCCTGGTGAATGTTTAGGAAGGAAGCATTTTTAGCTTAAGTCTTATCTAAGGATTTATAGGAAGAGATAGATGTAACTTATCACATTTTAATGTGTTGGCTTTATCAGGGTTTTGGCTTAATCTCCTGCCAATAAACATCTTCTCCAAGAATTACATGAGGATGAAGTACAAACGATTGTAATCAGATCAATTTATATTTGTCACTGTCCACAGACTTTATTACAATATGTTCAATAATATACTAATGTCTGTAGAATAAATAGGGACTTTATTTTTCATCTTGATGTGTGTACTGCTGTATTTTTCAGAGAATGTTAAAAATTTATCTTTCTCTTATTGATTCTTATCATTTGAGTCACATAGCAATAGGTGAAAAGTTAAAGTCAAGATGTTTAGCACATATTAATATTCCAAGTAAGTGGGTTATTTTTATTGTGCAGTTATGTTAAGAAAAAGAAAAGTTCAGGAAGGAATATTTCTGTGAAATCAAATAATATGCATCTTTATTGTCTTGTAAATTATTAATATTTTTCCACATGGAAGTATAAATTTTTTCTTTGAGTAATTTAATTTCTCTGTTCTTTTCCTCACAAATATTCCTTGGAATGAAATGAGGGCTAAAGTTAGGTACAATTTTCCTAACAAATGGCATTACTAGCTGCTATTTTCAAGAAACATTCAATTCATAAGCATATGTGTGTTTTACAGAAGAATTCTGGAGCATCTCAACTTTATATATAGCAAATTAAAAGTACAGAATTAATTCTTTAACTAGAAAGTTAGCAGATAGAAAAGTCTTTTTTTCTAGTGGAAGAATATTAAAAATAGCTAGCTTGAAGACAATAATAAAACCCTGGTATAAGAATAGAAAGGCAAAAAGATTTGATGTAGCTTTTCAGTTGTCAAATCAATCTGTTCTAAGTTGCCTGTTTAATTTTTTTTTGAGATGAGGATTTGCTATGTTGTCCAGGTTATATTTGAACTCCTGGGCTCAAGTAATCCTCCTTTTTCAGTCTGAGTAGCTGGGACTACAAGTATGCATCACTGCACCTGGCTAAGTTGCCTATTTATTTTTTTAAAGCATGAGTTAGTAAACTCCAATGTGATAAAACGTATTCCATAGGCGAGAGTATTTTAAGATATCTGCATGTCTTAAAAATTTAACACAACCTGGTTGCTACTTTAGCACATGATCTATATTTGAGAGACACTGCTTAATTCAGATTAGTACATGAGGCAGTATGTTCCCAATTTCTTTAACAATGTCCAGAAAGTGTCCAGCACTCAAATCTATGCTAAGTGGTTCTCCTCGTGGTTGTCTACCATGTGTATAATTTTAAAAAATACTTACCAAGCTGTATTTAATTATACATACTTATTTGTTTCTTTTTCTACCTTGAATTTTTTTCAGGAAACATAGTAGTTTCTTTGTTAAATGTTCATTAAATGAATGCCTTTACTTTGGAGCGCGACAGGTCCCTAATATTTCCAATTTTATTGCGCAGAATCTCAGGAAATTTTTGTTAATAGGCATATAAAAATAAGGTCACTTAGTGTATGACTTTTGAAATGTTAATAAAACAGTGTTTCTTTAGAATATAATAAGCCTCATCAAATGTACTTTTATAAAAAGCTATAAAAGGCTTTCTGCTAGAAGTGAAATAAGCTGGTACCTTTTGACGAGTAGACAGTGCAATCACAATGACTGCCATATTGAGTACTCTAGTATATCAGACACAGAGCTAAATGTTATCATCTTCACAGCTCTATAGAGAATCTGATACTCAAAAGAGTCAAGCAAATTCCCCAATGCATCAGGGATAGTACCTTGCTAAATTGGACTTCAGAGAGCTGATTGTTTCTTTGCCGTTCCCTATTCACTGCTCAACAATGACAGCCTGTGCAACAGTGAAATATTGACAAGAGATGATGATCTTGGATCCTAGTCTCCAACTATTTTCTCATTACTTGCTAAAACATATTTAAATCCTCATCAAATTAGAGCAACAAATGTATTTTGTTTCATGAAGAACAATGAATTGGAAATAAAGTCAATCTGGGAAGAGTTGAGAGAGCAAGTGTTTATAAAATAGCACAATTCCTTGAGCTGTTGAAAAAGATGAGGCATATTTCAGTGAAGGAGGTGCTGGCTGGAAATTGACAACACCTTTCTGATACCCTTAATTAAATAAGAAAAAGCATGGATTCTTCTGACATAGATCCTTGTTAGAATGGGTTTCAAACTGGTTGCAATGGTTTGCAAAAGCTTCTTTCTGTGTGAGAGGAATCAACATTTTACCCTCCAAAACTCTCGAGAGTAAAATCACCAGGGAAAGTTCCTCAGTTCTCAATATTTTAAAATCAATCATATAAAAAATAATCTACTGGTAAACACTCTTAAATCTTTAAAGAAACTGTATTTTTATATATCTGCAAGCTCCTTTGGCTTGCAGTGTACTTTTCCCCTTTCTTCAGAGCTGAATTTTATTCAGACCTGCATCTCCAGCTAGATAATCAAGGTGAATTTTATTTTTCTGACAATATTTCTAATCCTACAAATGATTTTTTATTAATCAAGCAAATGTTTTGTAGTCTTTAGGGGATTTATTCTATGAAATAGCTAGTCACATTAAAAAAAATAGGAGCATTTAGGCTTAACATAAACCATTCTGGGAGATTTATTTGATCATTACTAAAACACAGTAACTCATGCATGAAACTTTTGAAGTTAAATCCAATAGATAGTCTAGGCATAATAAAAAGTGTACAAGTCCTTTTAGATCATTTTGGAGGCAGTTTACTTTCTAACTCCATTTAGAGTTACAACTAATTCATTTCATCTTCAGATTTTTACAACTTAATCCTATTTCTTCAGAGGGTAGGTTAGACTGATTCAATATATCTGACTAAAAAGTGTTTGCAATTTCATCAGAGATATTTCTTTTAAGTGGGGAACACTTATTACAGTTTATTGGCATATTTTCACATAAGAACTTTGATTTTAAATGATTTTTCAGTCTTTGGCTCATTATGTAGTGATAAGTTCAGAAAGTATTTTCTGCTGAAAGTCAGATTTATTAGGTCTCTTTTTAAAAACCGGGCCCTGAAGTTGGCGATTTTAAGCGAACTGCAGGCATTTCTAATGAGAATGTTTCTGATAATTTATATTAACTAATATGATTAAGAATCTTAAAAAAATGATATTGAAAGAATATCCCATTTGTGCCTCAATTGCTATAAGACAATTTGGTGGAAAATATTTGTCTTTAATAACAATAATTTATTATAGAATATTTTGAGATTTTTACCCCATATGAATAAATAAAAAGAAACATGAACACAATCCTGTTGGCTAACTTGTCTAAAAGCAATCTATGGTCAGACTTCCTGCTAATGGAGAGTTAAAGTATTTTCTTTTAATACATTTTTGGACAACAGAAAAAGAAGCTACTTCTTATGGCTGATAGGAGTAGATAAAAATTATATATTTAACAAACAATTCCTAGTCATTTAAAAAATCCAATTCTAGAAAATTTAAAGATGATTTAAGCTCAAAATAAGTCCCTACTCCAATTTGTTTTTAACAGTCTCGTTTCAACATTACTGATATAACAGCAGATATTTTCTTTAGTTTTCCAAAGTATCCGAATAGTTTTTAAATCTATTGAGTTAATTTCAGTATTTCAAGTAGCCTCATAAAAGTTGTATTTACCTGCAGTAAGTTCCCACAGACTAACTAAACTATTAACCTTATTTGGTTTTGGCTGAAAAAAGAAATAATCACCTCTCACTAACATTGATTATATGCTTAAGCCTTTGATGGTCAACAAATTTAACTGTGACACAGGGAAAACAATAGTATATTAATTAAAATACTCAAAGAATATAAGCCACTTCTCTAAATCATTTTACCAGGGAGTAGTAATGTCATATTGTATCTATAATTCATTTATTGAGCTCCATTTATTCATTGGTTTACCCTGTAATTCATCCTGAAGATCTTCACTGAGGCCCTATCATATTCTCTATCCTGGGGCTAGAAAGCTAAATACCTAATTTTTTACATCTATTAGGATAATGGTCCAGTAGGATAGAGTATAGTTTAAAAAGTAATTATGATACAATATGCCTAAGGTATTTGTAAATGGTGGCCCCAACCAGGGAATGACTGACTTTTCCTGATGGGAGGGCCAAGAAAGACATTATAAAATATTTGGATCTTCAGAATGAATAGAAATCCTCTAAGTGAACTGAGAGTGGAGGGAGAATGATCCAAGGAGAGTTAATAATATGTAGTTCAAAAGATCACAAGTTCACAGAGCTCAAGCTGTTCTTTGTGGTTAGAGAGCAGCATGCAAAGGAGGAGCAGATGGAAGGCATTGTTGGAGAGGTCAGCAAGGGCCAGAGCAAAATTCTCTCCTGAGGAATTTGTTCTTAGTCCTGGTCTTTAATTTCTAACATTTTTCTTCTCCATAGTTATCACTATAGTAGAAGAAACATGGTGAAAGACCTAAAATGAAGGCCCCATAGTGAATGCTATCTCAATGTCTAGTGAAATTGTGAGAGACTCAGATGGCCTAACTGCAGGATCCCCCCTCACTTTGGTCCTGAGATAAGGTCCTCTAGACAAACAACCCTCTTTGTCAAATTGACTGGGTATAGTTCCTGCTAAGTAGTAGGTTCTAGTTCCTTTGGGATTGTTCAAGCAAGCCAATCACATCTTTCAGTGAGAACCAGGAGGCACCTCAACCTCTTGATACCCACAGCCCCTTGTTCATTTTGTTACTTAGTGTAGCCCCCAGAAGGCTGTGCATAGTATATGATGTCCTCTTCCCCTGGACTGTGAGCATATAAAACTAATGAACTGTTGTGGATTTTATCTGTCCAGTGTCAGGTTGTCAAGTAATCAGCCATCCCCAAACACAAGGAAAGGAACTTGTCTTCCATTAACAGGGTCAATAAGAGGTGATTAAAACATCGTGTCAGAAAACAATTAAACCCTCTGAATATCCATTGACAGAATGCATAGGATTAAAACACCATGTCAGAAAAAAATAAAACCATTTACACACTCTCTGCGATAAATAAAATTGGTGCTGAAAATTGAAATAAAAATTAAATTAGTTGTGTTATTCTGCTTCTGAAAACGGATGGAGAAGTAACTTTCATTGGACCAACTGATTTTTTCAGTGATTTTTTTCAGATAACAATATTAAACTCTGGACAAAATATTAAAAAGAACTGTCTGAAGGTACTGAAGCATGACCAAGTACAGGTAGAAACTGCAGGAGAGTCAATGCTTATAAGAAGAAATTAACATTGGCTTGGTTTTTAGATTTTATGGTCTTTTCACCTTAAGGGTAAGCCCCTTCTCTGCTCACCATGAAGTAGTGAAAACCTAGCAAGAACCCTACGGATTTATTAGATGAGAAATCAGAGAACAGAGTGCAAGGTCACACAGGAACTGGAAAGTGAGGAGAGAATCCAGGGTTAGGATAGGAGTTCAAGACCCGTCTGGGAAAAAAAGCAAGACCATGTCTCTAAAAAAAAAAAAAAAACCAGGAAAAGTTAACCAGGTATGGTGACGTGTACCTGCAATTCCTGCTACTTGGGACGCTGAGATGGGAAGATCACTTGAGTCCAGGAAGTTGAGGCTGCAGTGAGCTGGGATCACACCACTGCACTCTAACTTGGGTGACAGAGTGAGACCCTGTTGCAAACAAACAAAAATGATATTTAAATATCGTATGTAATTAAATACATATTTAAACGTAACTCATCTGGCAGTTAGAGCATACAAACAAAAGTGGGTGAATTGAACTGTACAATTGCAAGATTCTTATATATAAGAAGTGTTTTAAGATTTTGTGTTGCTTAGGTTAGACCTTAATATGATTGGAAAAATTTCAAGATTAACCACTAAAAATATATAGCCTACAGTGCCTGCATTAGTCAATGTAATCAACACTAGCTGCCACAGTATACAAAGCCTGACATTTCAGTGGCTTAACACAGTCAACATTTATTTCCTTTCCACATCATAGTTTGCTGTAGCTCAATTTAGCTCTCCCACCTGTCTCATCTCCAGGAGTGACTCAGCAACGTTGTCAACCTCCATCTTGCATGTTAGTTATCCGAAAAGGTGAGAGAAATGATGAAAAGTCATATATGCTTTTAACTGCCTAGTGCTAGAAGTTATACATCACTTTAGATTGCATTCAACAAGAAAATTTCTTTTTTTTCCCAGCATTCTTCGGATTCTCCTTCAAGGTCCCCACAGACATTGTTTGGTTCTGACAGAATCAAAGCCCATACCTAAGTTCTTGAAAGAAAGTGTTGCATAATTTTGCTCAGAAAATGAACGCATATTATGAACTCTGAGCATTGTCTCTGACTCATGTCCAAATTGGTGAATAAAAAAATGAAATGAAACTCCCCAGATTTAATCAATTATAAGTTCAAAACTTAACTAAAAATATGATAGAGAAAAATGGAACAAAAGTAAAACAAAGCAAATAAAAACCTTCAACCTCTTTTTCTCCTTTCATTATTGTAACACTTTATAATTGGAGATACTAATTTCACAAGAGAAACTGGATGAAAATGGCAAATAACTTTAAGTTAGAGAATAGCTCATTAAAAGCTTCAAATATTATTTTTCTCAGAAACATTGAGATATAAGGTTTTGCTTTGAAGAGACTTTTCTACTACATTTGTATTTGACAAGAAGCCTTATATAAGAACTATTTCATTTATCAATAGGCACTAGATGAACCAGCCAAGACTGAAAGTGTCTCCAAGGACCACACATTAGAGCCACCTGTGGAGGTAATAAGTTCAGATTCCCCTGGCTTTTGGACTGCAATCCCAAAACTCATTGCTAACCCAGTACCTGGTTTCAATTCTTTCAGTTTTGTTTTCCTGCACAGCTCAGGCAGCAAACTGAAGAGCTCTGTGCTACCATTGATAAGGTCTTACAGGACTCTTTGTCTATGGTAATGCCTTAGATTAGAACGCGCAATTCAAACATTTGCTTTGCTTCTCTTCATTTCCCTCTGTTTTAGTATGATGCCTCACAGGCTTGTCCTTTTCTTTCTTTCCTTTCTTTTTTTCCTCAGCATTCTTCTGATTCTCCTTCAAGGTCCCCACAGACATTGTTCGGTTCTGACAGAATCAAAGTATGTATATATTTAATATAATTTACAGAACCATAAGATTTATTAGATCGATGATTTTCAAACTGCAAGTCAAGGCTTAATAGTCAACTGGGAAATCCATTTAGTGAATAGTAATTAGTACTTTTTTAGTATAATTTTTAAAATAGTAAAATATCAGGCTCCATTCCAGGTAGTGTATAGTTATTGTTGGTATTGATTTTAATTAGTTTACTTGTACACATATAGGTAAGTGTATACAGGGTTGCCAAGTAAAATCTATTCTGTGAGTCAAGTTCAAAATGGTTTTGAAGTCAACTTATTAGACTATGTAGTTGTATGTTGGCAATTTTTGGAACTACTTGTAGAATTTGTGGCCCATTCTCATCTCAAACCATAGATTCAGTATTTTTTTCAGTATTTTTGTAATTTGCAGCCACTTAGAATTGTAGAAGTGAAAAATAAAGTAGGCTAAACTAGAATTTGTTTAACTACTTTAATACAGGTAGCATTTATGGAATTTTTTTTTCTCTTTTTACTGACAATTTATTTCATTCTTCTTTGACTCAAAGGGAAAGAATCCTGAATATTTTAGATTGTTAAACTAACTGTTAATTATTGTAATTGAATATTTAAGTGTTTTCTTCTTATAATGCAGCTATTTTCATTTGTTGGGATGAAATACTACATTTCTCTAAATCATTTTTTTCAAGTAGTTAGTCCAGCTCTCCTTGTCCAAATTTCAGAATACTTATGATTCTTCCCCTATTGATAATTGTTAGTTTTTTTGGTCAGTCTTATTTATTTTCCTTCTTGGAATTAGTATAAGTACTTTTTGCATGACCTTTAAACAAATTAGACATAGTGTGATTGAAGTAGATTTTAAATGTACAGAACTGTACTTAACTAGAAAAATGATATTAATTTTTAGTTGGAGCATTACAGACAAATATCCATTAGTAATGACATAGAAACCCAGTAACCAATTATTGTCAATATTAAGAAATTATATTTTAACAGAGAGGACCCACTAATGGATAACTGAAGTTTATGTATGTGAAATCTATTTTGTTGTATAGTCTTTAACTGTTATAAGATACTACAAACATTTGAAAATATGCTTTTTCTTATTTCTTTTGTTGAACAAGTAAAAACCAATATTATATTAAATATAATGAGAATAGAATTTAGAAGCGATATATGAATAATAATCTATATTATTGGATTGGTGTGTTTAGCAAATATTTAGTGCTTATGGCATTAAAAGACAGTATTTTAGGCCACTAAATTTAAGGCAATTTTTCATTCAACAAGTATTTATCAAGTGCCTACTATGTGTCTGGTGCTGTGTGACACTAGCAACATAAACAAGGCTAAGTATCTAGAAGGCATACTTGGGATGTAGTGATCAAGAGGTGGAATTCAAGTTGAGATCCAAAGAATTCAAGTTGATCTTTCCATGGCTTGAGAGGAGCCACTATAGAAAGGTCAGGAGTAATGGCTTTCAGGCAGAGGAACAGGCATGTATAAATTTCCTGAAGCACAAAAGACCTTTGTGTATGTAGATAAAGAAGATGCCCAATGTGCTTGCAGCATAATGAGCCAGAGATAAACAGTGTAAAGTAAGATTGACCAGGTGGGGTAGGTACAGTAATTTCTGTAGTTATCTGCCATGGTGTGAGGTTTGGATTCCAAGGAAAAAGGGCAGACATAAAAAGCATGGTGAGAATAATATGAAACCACTGAAAATCATCAATATGGTTGCTGTGAGGAGGCCACTGAAGTCAAGGAGGCCGTCAGGGATGGTGGCCTGGATAGGTGGGTTCAGAGGAGCTAGAGAGAAGCATGCCGTCTGAGGCTTGCTGAGGATGTGGGTGTGAGAGGTGAAGGAGAGAGAAGAATTATGAATGAGTTGCAGGTCTTTGCCTTGAGGATAGACAACTGTGAAAGAGTACAGTGGAGGAGGGCAGAGGGATATATTAGTTTTGGACAGGGTTGATTTGATGTGTGCATCAAGGAAGCTTAAACCTATGTGACTGAAGCTAGTAGGAGAGATCTGGGCACATATTGTCCTGTACAAGGCTCCAAGGAACAGAACATCACAGGTCCAACAAAGGAGATGGAAGAGAGCAAGCAAATAAGAATAAAAAGGCCATTATGGTCAGAGGAGAATCAGAGAAGTGTGGTATCATGAAGCTGCAGGAAGAGAGTGTTTAACATTGGGCACACACTGATACAAGGACAGGAACAAGACATTGGGCACTGCTAGGGAGGAATGGAGGAGGGATGGGAGAGCGGGGGGTGGATACAGGTTACAAAAGAGATAAGTGACACAATACACTTATGAAACAAATTCTCACATGCACCACATGATTTTAAAATAATTTTTAAAAAATAAGAGTGTGTTTAAGAGAATATAATCGTTCTGATTGTAGTCAAGAGGAACACAAAGATAAGGCTAGAGAAGTGTTTACTAGATTTAACTTGAATATTTTCTAATTATATTGCTGGTGCTTACATGTTGGTGTTCTATTCCATTTTTTTTTTAAAACTGTAACTTCCATCAGCATCTATAATCACTTTTGAACTTAAATTTTTTCTCTTGAGTCTTCTTATATTTATAATTTCTAATTCTTGTTATCCTAGATGTATCTTTTTCTATTACTTAAAAAAAATCATTTTATAACTTCTTGTCAAATTTTCTACAGAACAACATATTTCTTTTATATTCAATTAGATTCTGTTTATCAGGGACCTTAAGCCATTTATAAATATTGCAGCTCTTGTTATATTAGGGTGGAATTTTCTATTTCATTTCAGGTTTTTTTAAAATTTAAAATGTTTTTTTCCCCTCTCATCCTTCCTGGCTTTCCTTTAAATATTTTGAAATTTACTGGTTTGAAAATTTTACTTTATATTTTGTTACTTTTGATAGTAATGCATATATTATTATGAACAATAATGTTCATTTTCTATTCATTTTAAAACAAAAAAATGCCTTTTTCTAAAATTTTGTAAGTACTGTAGCACTTTTCACTTGTTTCTAATCAAACTATACACATATGCACATATACACACAAGAATAAATAACAGTCCATTAATATTTTTGAATTTTAGGTCTGAATGTGTATGGTTATACTTTTTCTTGATCTTTTCTTTATTTAGACGTGCCTTATCTAGATCCTTACTTTGTACACATCCAAAACTTTCTCCTGGACTTGTTATTTTTCTTGTTGGGATAATGCTGAAAATTACAATCTATAAGATTGTTTTGTATAATTTTTGTGACCTTAACTATAGTTAGTTTTGTTGGATATAAAACTATTGGTCCTTACTCATCAGCATTTTTTTATCTGTGTTTTTTTTCTTCAACAGTATACTTATGAAGAACTTATTCCTCTATGTAGAGTGATCATTTACAGAGTTTTTCTGTAAACTTTTAGAATTTTATCTTTATATATGGTCTTGTGGGTTTTCTTCATAATATGTCTGTATCTTGATTGGTACTCTTTGTGATCTTTCATATGATGTCATCAAACTTTTCTTTCCCTTACATTGTGTACAAGTTTCAGTCACTTTTTTTTTCAAAAATTTATTTCCTTCTAGGCTCTTCTGATATTGATTTTGTCACTTTTGATTCTGTATATCGGGTTTGTTACTCTGTATGTTTCTCTTCTATTTATTACTTTCTAATTCCTTTAAGAGGATTTATTGATCTGATATTCCAGTTCAAGAATTTGTTCAATATCCTTCTATTCTTTGGTCCATATATTAAGTTTTTTATTGTAGCTTCTATAGTTTTTTCTTTTAAAGTCAGGTTTATTGAGGTATAATTTAGTTACTGTATAATTTACTTTTGAGTGTACAATTCTATGAATTTTGACCCATATGAGTGTAATTACTGCCACATTCAAGGCACAAAAAAATTTCCATCAACTGAAAATGTTCCCTTGGTTCCTTTTTTAGTATATCTCTCCCTTCAACTCAAGTACTGGACAACCATTGATCTTTTCATCTGTCTCTATACTTTTGCCTTTTCAAGACTATTATCTAAATATAATCATATAGTATGTAATCTTTTGAGTCTTAGTAGAAGATATTTGAGAAACATCCTTATCATAGCGTGGATCAGTAGTTAATTTTTTTTTATTGCTGAGTAGTATCACATTGAATAGATGTGTATTCTTATTTATCTATTCACCAGTTGATGGATGGTTGAGTTTTTTCCAATGTGAAACTATTACTAATAGAGCTGCTAAGAACATCTGTAAATGAGACTTTGTGTGGACAAAGTCTTTCATTTATCTTGGGTAAATATTAGGAGTGGAATGGCTGGACCTTTGTTTACTTTTACAGTATTTACATTTTTTAAATGTCTTATTATTTTTCCATGGGAACTCAAGTTTCCCTAGGCATATCTGCTGACTTTGCTGTGTGTATGCCTGGAGCTTGAGGTAGCAGCTACTAAAGTCCAGGTACAAGGATTTGCCAATTCTGATGAGGTTTCTTTATTTATCTATTTAAAAGCTGGAGGAGCATGTGCTTCAGAATGAAGAAGCACCGTGATGTCCACCAGTTCCCACTTGCCACCTTTTCTCTAGCCTGGTGACCCTGACACTCACGCCTGCCTTCCTACACCTCTGCTTTTGATACTTTTTTCTTGTTGTCATCACTGGAGAAGGGATCAAGGAGAAGACTTGTCAGAACCTGCCAGTTTTTGAAACATATAATTAACTGTTCTCTTCTTCCCCACCAGACTGAAGGACCACCTTGATATTATTGTCATAGCTACCTTTTTTTACTATCCTCTAATTTCACCTCTTACTTTATCCCAAGCCTCTCTTTATCTTTGATGTTGAAAAGTGTATTGTGATGTGAGAAAGCAGGGACAAAACATATAAAAAAATAAAACAAAGGACTATTTTAAAATGTTGGTTTGTGAATTAGGCCAGTAATAGGGTCAGGGAAGAATTTCCTTTCTTTCTTTTTTTTGAAGGTGGAAATGACAAAATCAAGTTTGTATACTGGAGGAGGTGGTTTCAGAAGAGAAAGAGGTCCTGTCTCTACAGAAAAACAGGAAAATACCAAAAGACAAAATTCCTTCAGAACTGGATAGATCCTAGAGCCTAATTCAAATATGTATCCTATATGGTTTGAATGTTTGTGTCCTCCAAGTATTCATATACTGAAATTATCACCAATGTGAAGGTATCAGGAGATGGGGATATAAGGAGATGAATGGGTCATGAGGGTGTGGCCCTCCTGAATGTTATTTGTACCCTTATCAAAGAGTCCTGAGAGAGACCTCTCTTCTCTTCCACACAGCAAGAAGCCACTATTTATGAACTAGAGAGCGAGCCCTTACTAAATATCAAATCTGTCAGTGCCTTGTCAAGATCTTAGACTTCCTAGCCTTCAGAATTGTGAAAAATAAATTTTTGTTGTTTATAAACCACCCAGTCAGTGGTATTTTGTTATAACATTCTGAATGGACTAAAGCCATTTGAGGAAGCTGGAAACATCTCCTGTTGTAATAGAACAGAAAATAAAGGACGTGACAGGTATAGATGCAAGAATATTCAGGAGCTAATGGTGGGGAAAATAAAGAATTTCACAACTAGTACATTTCGTTATTTCATAACTAACATCTCTCAGTAAAATAAGTTTTAAGATCATTAGTTGAGATGAAGGGGGAAAGGAGTGATGGAGATGAATTTAAAAGCTGAAAAAGAAATGATGTATTCTGCTTCAATTCTCCTTCTCCAGCTATCTCTTAAATATATTCCTTTTATGCTGCCTAAACTGATTTTTCAAAGGTTCTGGAAGTCATACCCATTGATATAAGCTCAGTCCTGATGTGGAATGACACAGCAATCGAATGTGAGACAGTTGATCACTTCCTTCCCTTTGGTATGCTTTCCTCTAGAACTTTTTAGACCACTCTCTGTCAGTTTTTTTAAACTACATCACTTTTCTTTACCATTTCTTGGTCTTATTTGCTTGTTCTTTCTTTTCCTAAACTATTAAGGTTGGGATGCTCTAGTGATAAGTCCTCGAAATTCTCATTTCTCTCTCTATTCATTTCTTTGGTGTTCTCACCCAGTTTCATGTTTTGAAAGCAAATATGTATATACTGACAACTCCCAAGTGTCTATCTCTAGTCTAGAATTCTCTTTAAAACTCCATATTTCCAATGACTCACTCTTTATTTCCACTTAGGTTTCTAACAAATGTCTAAAACTCAATATGTGGGAAATACTATCTAAATTTCCACCCACAAAAAAGATTCCATATGGCTACCTTCCCATCTCCACTGATAGAATTTCAATCTTTCATTCATTCAAGGCAAGCAGCTTTGGAATCAGGTCTTATTCTTCTCTTTCTCTCACATTCTACATCTCTTCTGTTAAAAATCCTGTTGCCATAGCTTCAAAATATGTAGAATATGATTATTTAATGCCCTCTTCACTACTGAGCCATCATTGTGCTTTGTTGGGTAGTATAATAGATTTGTTTCTATACCCTTACCTTGTTATAATTCTTTCTAATTCATCAGAGAGATCTTTTCAAAGCATAAGTCAGACCAGCAGTGCTTACATATTTTCTTTCTGAATGTGGGCCAGAATCCTCACAAGATCCTGAAAGGGCCTGCGTGATCTGGCCTCCCAGTACTTCCATGATCTGCTCTCCTTCATTCTCTCCTTTAGTCACTCTGCTCCAGCCCCACTCACCTCCTTGCTGTGCCTTGAATGTGCCAAGCATGCTCCTGTCCTAGCATATTTGTTTTGTTTTCAAATTAGTTATATCACATCTTAGTGTCTAGTTCTTTTTCAATATTTGCATGCTTAACTTTTATGTCCAAAATCAGGGTTAAATATGGTTGTTTTCAGTCTGGTCTGACAAAACAAATTTTGAGATTCTCTGTGGGTCCTTTTTGGTTGCTCATTATTTCTGTTCATTCTCACTTGCATTGCTTTGCTTCTTTGTGTATCTGAATCTGATGTGTGCTGGGCATTCTATTTGAAAATTTATTTATAGAAATTGTTTGAGAGCTTGGATGATGGTATCTTCCCATAGATAGTCTTTTCTTTGCTACTACCAGACTTTGGGGGCACTAGCAAAGAAGGATTACCTTAATTTAATTTAGGGTTTTTGTGATTGCTATTTCTAGGCAATAATCTTCAGATGATTTGAGGCCAGGCTGAAGACCATGTGAGATTTCTCTAGACCAGTCTTACTCCTGGGATTCAATCTATTCTTGGCAAGTCTTAGCCTTAGCTAAGACCATACCTTAACTTCTCCCTGTATTTCTGAGATATCAAAAGTTTGGGACAACTTCTTAAGCAACTCAGCATTATTTGCAAACAGGGCAAGAACACTTCTCAAATGCTGAATTTCTCTCTTCAGATTCCCATCTTCTCCTCATCTTGCCCAATAACCATACAATTTTTTTTCAGCTCATTGATGTATTTGATAAGTTTTTATTGTCTCTTATGGCAAGATTGCTTTCAGTACTTCATCCACTATTCTCAGAGAAGAAAATCTGCTTGTCCCTCTTGTTAGAATGCTCATTATCTAGATATCCATATAGCCAACATCCTCATTTCTTTCAAGTCTTTGCTCAAATGTTATCTTCTCTACATTGATCATCACATCTAAAATTGTAAACCCTCAGTACTCGACCTCCTTAACATCTGGGTGGTCCAGAAAAATACAAGATGTTTGGCAGAAGCAAAAAAAATTTCCTCTGGAAGCATATATTACCCTAGGATTCAAATAATTTCTATTCTTTTTATTGTATTTATCTTCCTCTAACATAATATAACTTACTTATTATTTTATTGGTTTTTTTTAACTGCTAGAATGTAAGCTCCCTAAGGGTAGGGCATCTTTGTTTCTTTTGTTCACTGACAAGTTCCAAGAGTGTAGAACAGTGTCTAGCATGTTGTAGGTACACAATAGGTATTTGTCAACCTGATGAATGAATCAAATGGTCATTTTATCTCAGAAAGTGGCCCTCAAGAAAAAAATTTTCAGCTTACTAGGCAGTATTGAGTGCACACTGAAGTTGATAATCATCCATTTAAGATGAAATCAATGAGTTCATTTGGAAGAGTTTCTGAAGCAATGTTTTGCTTCTCAGGTAAAAGTACAAAGAAAAAGGATGGTAAAGCCAATCTATGATTGGTGTTTTGTTTTTTTTTTCTTCAGAAAGTGAATTTGTCACAAGAGAGGGAAATAAGAATTTGAAATTATTAAAGTGACTGAGAATATGAAATATATGTAAGCTGAGAGGTAATAAAGCCAGAATGAAGCTGGTGAAGGTGAATGATTTGGAAGTCCCAATGAGTGGATATTGATCAGTGGTACTTGAGAAATAAAGACGGAGGATAGGAGGTAGAGCTCTGAAAGTGGGATTTTTTCATGAAAACTTCAGAGGTTTTCCTTTTTATTGGTGAAGATAAAGTCCGGGAATAGTCCTGGGAGTGAATGATTGAAATGAAGTACATGAGAATAGGAGAAATTTATCCTTATCCTTTAAACATTTTGAAATAGGCAAAAATTATGGAAGAGATATGATGAAGGAACTATCATGATTCATGACTTAAAACCATCAATAGTTAAGGGGAAATTATCAGAAAGCTAATAGATAAAAGCAATAAAAATAATAAAGTGACAATTTAATGAAATAATTTTCAAAAAAGGGATTTTGTATGGAAAAAAAGAGTAATGTTTAGAAAGTCTCAATTAAGAAAAAGGTGAACACACCCCAAAGTTGCATCTATTATTATTTACTTAATTATTTCAGAAGTATAATTGTTTCTACTTTTATACAGCCTCCTACAACTCTACCAAGAGCAGCTGGTCGAGAAACCAAATATGTAAGTACCTTTATAATTATATATACAGATTTTTAAATGGGTGACTGTGTATTTTTTGGAGAGAACACCATTATATTGTTATTTAAGTCAAATTAGTTAATTTTTCAATAAGTACAAAAGGAGACCGGGCGCAGTGGCTCACGCCTATAATCCCAGGACTTTGGGAGGCCAAGGTGAGAGGAATGCGTGAGCCCATGGATATGAGACCAATCGGGGCAAATTGGTGAGATTTTGTCTCTACAATAAACAAAAAAATTAGCCAGGCATGGTGGCAAGTGCCTATAGTTCCAGCTACTTGGAAGGCTGAGGTGGAAGGATTGCCTTATCCCAGCAGGTCGAGGCTGTGGAGGCCGTGAATGTGACACTGCACTCCAGCCTGGGCAACAGTGAGACTCCAACTGAAAAAAAAAAAAAAAGGGGGAAAAAAAAAAGTACAAAAGTGTAGAATGATATGATTGGCTCACATATGGAAATCAGGTTATGTCAGAGATTAAACATCAGGTAAGCTTATCAAATAAATTCCCTCTTAAGTGAGGTCTAGTTTGATTATTTTAGCTAAATAAAATAGAACTGCAACACCTACTTTCTATCTTTCTAATTATCAAATTAAATGACATTCTCATATTTGTAATGGCTTGTTCCTATAAAACAGTCGATGTATATATTTGAAATATTAAGATTTGTCTATTTCTGATGGGATTGCCAGTTTAATCAACTTTGACTATTTTGTTGCTTTCCTACATTTAAATTATCAAATAAACAGATTTTCACTTATGAGCAAAAATAGATTAATAGAGGATAGATATGGACTCACACTTAATTCAAATAATTTTAAGACTGACTCAGTGTCATAGACATACACATGTATAAGTACACCCCTTTCTGCTGTTCACTTACCTAATAACTGCATTTTCCATCATTCAGTCAACTTCTGCTTCTGATCAAATATATTCTAGTAGAAAGAAGGTTGTCTCCTAAGCAAGTGTTGGGTTTTAAGTCTAAATAAAACTAGTAAACTAGTCCATTTAAGATACATGTTATATTTTCTAATATGTTGTTTTTGCTATCATAGTTAAGAGTAAATAGTTGTTAAATGCTTATTTTGAGCCATGCCATTGCAATGGATACATTTCTGCTTTCATTTGAATCTCCCTAAGGCAAGCAATAAACTGGGTGAAATTACAAAATTTTTATCACATCCAGGAAATTATGTTTAGAGGATGTGGGTAGGAACATTGCTTAGAGCATTTTCTGGAAGTTTTTTACCATTATTTTTCATTATTATTATAAACTGTTTAGAATAATGCTTAAAAAGAGTGGAGACTCTCAGTAGACTAGACCCAAGTTTAAATTACGGTGTTGTTTCCAAATAACTGTCTGATCCTGGAAAAATCACTTCTCATTTTACCTTTCAATCCCTTTGCTTTTTCATCTACAAAATGGGGATACCAATAATTTTCTTATTCGCTTGATGTAAGATTTATATTAGTTGATGTATAAAAATCTCTTAATACAGTGCAGACACACAGTAATTGCTCAATAATGAACAGCTCTTCCCTTTCTTTCCCTTTTTCCCTTCACTTTTGCCTCAATTCACACTTCCTTTCTTTTCTTTCTTCTACTTATCTTTGGAAGACTAGAAGTACTATGGTTTAATTGAGTTTCTTGATTCTTTAGTAGGTACAAGAAAAAGTTTCCTGAAGATACTTCTATACTTTTTGTGACTAAAATATGTTGTACAAGGTCCACACCCAAGAAAAAGTAGCTAGAAGCTTTTGCTATCTCACTTTTTCTCATCTACTTCTGCCTTTCAGCAAACTGCCTCTGATTGGAATAGTTTTCAATAGGTTCAGAGGGCTGGTGCCTTCGTCCATCTCTCCCTGGGGATGGTTAATTTTTTAGCAAATGGAATAATTCTGGAGTGATTGCTTCAATCTCTACAGTTAAAGATTATTTGAAGTTATTTTTTATTTTCGATCAATTATCAGATTTCACTAAAGGTTAACTTTAAATCCATAACTTGTGAGAACATTTGAGTCATTCAAAGTTAACACTGAATCATCAAACAGGTTCAGTATAGACTAGAACAAATATTAACTCTGATTCAGATAAGATTCTTGATCTTAATTAAATTTTGTTTTTTGAGTGAAAAGTTTTGTTTTGACTTTCTATTAGACGTGACATCTGAATTGTTGTTTGTGGCACCTCGAATGTATCCATGTCTGTTGTATCATTTTGCATTGAAGGGTAAAAACTAGTTCTTTGGTGCCGACTAATAGATAAGTCACAATTGTAAAAATTTAGCTGTAGCTATTAAAATTTACTAAATGATATCTGATGCATTTATTTTGAGGAGAAAATACACAATTTGAGAACAGAAGTCCACTTTAAAAATAAGCCTTGATCTTATGTAAATCAGCTGTCTTAAATATGTTATTACTTATATCATTAAATATTATAATGATATTATAATATTTTCTTCTAGATATTCTAATAGTCACATTGATTGAGCTCTGGGATGCCTCACTTTAAGTATGAGTTTAATAGATTTAATTTAATTAATTAAACTCTCACTTTATCTTTCTTCCTTTGTTTCCCATGGAAACTCAAAAGCAATTCTGAAAAGTCTATGGATTTTAATATCTCATCTCTCTTCAAAACTTTGGAGACAATAGGAATCTTCGGAGTATGTTCCTGCTGAAACTCAGTGTGTCATTGACTTTGTAGAGATTCTAAGATTAAGCTCAAAAGCAAAGATCATGCCAGTTACCACCTTCTGTACCACAGAGGAGGTTAGGCAAAGGGAAGACAATTTAGAGCCAAGGAAAAAAGGTCTGTTACACTTGAGAATATCCTGAGCAAGTTAGTCCCGGTCATGTAAAATCATTGCTCATTTTCAATGTATTAGTATATTCGTAGGGTTTCTAATTTTCCTGGGATACTTATAATGGGCTGAATAAAATAACAAGAAAATGTATAACTCATTCCTTTTTACAGGCCTTTGGTGAAAGGTTGGGTTCTCTTAAAAGAAGAAGAAGAAAACACAAGATAATGTTTCTTTCTTTGGGTATTTATTGTACATATTGTGACATTTCACACAGTCTGTTTTTTCAGAATAAGCCAGGTGCAATGAAAGCAACATTAATTCAGATTAATTAAAGTAAAGGGTTTCTTAAATTCATAGTGTGCTTGAATTATAGGTTATCTTAAAGTAATTTAATTGGATTCTCTCTTAATTGTAACAGAATTGAAACCAGGCTACCAACATGTTGAATAGGTAGTGACCCTTAGGTCATTTTCAGAGTTGATTCACTTATCATTCAGTATTTTACTTGATTCTTTTTAACAGATGCTAAATTCAATAACATTAATAATAATTGTTTTAAACTCTTACCTCGCAAATGAGACTTAACTAACTCATTTAAACCATACATCAACCTTATGAGGTGAATATTATTATTGTAAAATCTTTATTTTACAGAGGGAGGAAAATAAGTCTCAGGAGTCACAGACTAGGCAAAATTCAACCAAGGTTTGCTTCATGTCAAAGCCTCTGCCACTGAAACTTGTATATACTAAAACAAACTGGAACTAGATCATATTCTTTACATATTTTATCTATTCATATTATACTCTGAATTATTTTTTCATGCCCAATAACCTTTAATCGAAACTTTTAATGCATACTTTTATATTTGGTCACTATAATATCTAAAACGTTAATGTCTTATTATTTCCAAGGTTTTAAATTACTTGCTTAAATGTAAATTAACTCATAATTTGTCAGAGAATATATGAGATCATTTCTCTGAAGCTTATTTTAAAAGTTCTTTCCTTCATGTAAAAGAATGAATTTTCTATTGCATTCTATTTTTATGATATCGCTTTTGGAGGAAAAATTTTTCTTTGCATTATGACTTGCCTTTGTAAATATTTATTATCTTTTATTAACTGCTACCAGTATAAATTCATTTTATTTATATAATTCAAAACCACAATATGCTTTTTATTTATTTATTTATTTGTTTGTTTATTTATTTATTTATTTATTTGAGTTGGAGTCTCACTCTGTTGCCCAGGCTGGAGTTCAGTGGCACGTTCCCGGCCACCGCAGCCTCGACCTGTTGCGCTCTGGCGATCTTCCACCTCAGCCTTCCAAGTAGCCTGAACTACAGGCGCGCACTACCTGCCCAGCTAATTTTTGATTTATTATACAGGTGAGGTATTGCCAATTTGTCCAGGTGGGTCTTAAACCCACGGGCTCAGCAATCCACTCGCCTCGGTCTCCCAAAGTGCTGGGATTACAGGCTAAGCCACTGAGCCCGACCAATATGCTTTTTTTTTTTTTTTTTTAAAAATAAAGAACAACTTCAGAAAACAGGGCAAGTATTTGGGCCTATTACTAATGCATCAAAAATCTTTTAGTTGGAATCACATTCTATTGATAGTAACTTATTTCATATATTCTCTATATTTCATGAATTACTCTTAAGTGCGGGGGAAATAACCAACCATCTTATTTAATATTAGATAGCATACAGGTAAGATCTCATTTTTACGAGCTTGAGAGACAGAAAAATGTCATTACTATGGAAGTATATTTCTTATCAAAATATCAAAATATATTGAAAAACGTGTCAAACTTTATTAAGAATATTTCCCTCTCTATATACAGATATTCAAATAAAGGTCATCTTCTTCAATTTAACCAGCTCCCACACTCCTCTTGTTGCTATGCTTGGGAATGTTGCTATGCTGGAGTGTTTCAGAGGTGATGTGCAGTGACATAGTCATAGATCTTAGGGTAAGAGGTGACTTACATCAGACTCTAGGTCAGGATTTGCTTCTGTAGGCTGAGGATAGAGATTTAATGAGTTACAGGAAGAGTTGTGAACAATTTAAATAAGAAACTCTGCTCTGTTGATCATTCTCACGTTTCCTTTTTTAATTTTTTAGAAACATATCTGAAGTGTATGTGTGTGTGTGAAAAGGGTTGAGGA